AAAGACGCTATGTCGCCTTTTACGAAACGGTGAGGCAGTATTCTTAGCCGGTACCACACCTCAAAAATGTTAGTACAAACCTATTCACGAAATAAAAAATAAGGTACCTAGTGGGAGAAACCAATGGGCGTCAGTCAAAGATTAAATTAATAACAGCAATGTTTCTAGTAAATTGATATTCGTAATCTAAGAAGTCAAATTTGCTTTCTATTTCCGGAATACCATTAATTTTAACTTTAATATGAATGGCAATATTATGTTTGATCTAAGCCATATTAAACCGTTGAAGAATCAACACAAAAGTGTGTGGGAGGTCAAATAACCGAGTCCAAAGTTATCTAAATTAGTGGAGAGTGAGTAAACCTTAGAGTAAAGAGCACATATTTAGACATTTATTTTGTACATACTTACATTATAATTATCACGCCGTAAGGCTTGGATTATAGTCCCGCGGCGCGGCCGCCGCGACCGGGGCGCTTTTTGCAAGTTTACAAGGAAATGTATGCAACGAATTATTCTGCGCAGGGCGCGGTCAGAATAATTCGTTGTATACGCCGCGGGACTATAATCCGAGCCTAAACGGCTGTAAAAAACGGCCATTTATACCACGTCTGACAGAAGTTTCAGATTCAGAAGACTGTGTATTACCGTATTGGCAGGCTGTCAGTCTGTGTCTTAAAATTGCAATAGGTACACATCAACTCTGAAATCCCTTAGTCGCTTCTTACGACACCCATGGGAAAGATATGGGGTGAATGGTGATGCTATTCTAATGCAGGCACCACACTGCAAAAAACTACTAGATAGATAACACACACAATGTCGCTCTTAGAAAATCTTAAATCGGGTATCGAACCCCAGTATAAGGTGTAAAAAAATCAACTGCAAATATTTTAAGGGGTGAACCAGCCCATGAAACTAAACAACTTTCCCCTAGAAACATGAAAAAAAAATTGGACCTCCCATACATAATGTACCAGCCGGCCGAGTCAATTTGTATGGGAGTTCCAACACTTTTTTTCGTATTTCGACCTATGTTCCTTGGGGAAAATTGTTCAGTTTCATGGGCTGATTCACCCCTTAAAATATTTGCAGTTGATTTTTTTACATTCTGTATATTTTCTTAGCAGGCAGACCCGACCGAGCTAAAAGAGTCAAACACAGCAATCTCATTCATCACCTTCACGGTAACAACAATCCACGGACATAGGCCTTTCCTTTATCGGAAGTAATATTACACTCACCACGCTTGGCAGGCGAATTGGCAAGCGCAGTTCAAGATATTTAATTCACAAGGAACGCTGCTGTTTATGTCCTAGATAATTATCCAATTGTAGCTTTTTACGACACCCAGAACTGGGATGATGCTATTCTAAGCCGGCATCACGCAGCAACGCATCTCCTCACATCCAACAAAAATTAAGTCGAATATTGCACATCATCACCCCATAACCGGCCGTTACAATAAAACAAAATGACCTAACAAATTAAAAAATAAAAGAAAAAATCGGCCAAGTGCGAGTCCGGACTCGCGCACGAAAGATGCCGTACCTTTTGGTATAAAAATGACATAAAAATCACTTTTATTGTATGAGACCAAAAAAGAGAAAATTTCAACTCTCTAACTATAACGAATGACCTTAACAAACGGACAGACAGTGAAAACTCAGAAATAGAACCCCGTTTTCACCCTTTAGATAATGTACCCAAAAAGTGAAAAAAAAAACACTTCTACCGTTAGCCCACATGTGACGCCAGTTCATAAATTTGCGAAAAAGGGTCGGTGCTAAATTATGACGACATAGGTTGGCAACACAGGGATAAAGTAATTTATTTAGAAAAATACGGTTTCTAGTACATAAACTGCGTTTTAAATAAGAATGGACATAATATTTTTGTGGTTTATCGTCTGTGAAAATGAAATTCCTGAAAAGCTAATTGTGTTTTACGATAATATGTAGGTAACAGACCCTAAAAAGGTGCGTTACAAAATGTAAAATATGTAAACAAATCAAAAATGTAGATATTGCCATTTATCTTGCCCGTGGATGTCGTAAGAAGCAACTAAGGGATTTGGTGTGTGTCACGCCTATATCACTTGTGGGGTAGGCAGAGGTGTAAAAACTTCCACTTACATCACGTCTGACAATACTTTGAGTCATTCAGGTGACTGTCTAGCACCTGTTCCCTAAAATTGCAATTCACATCAACTCTTAAATCCCTTAGTTGCTTCTTACGAAACCCACGGGAAAGATATGGGGTTACGCTATTCTCAGCCGGCACCACACGGCATAATGACAGCCGATGTGGCGCAGTGGTTAGTATGCCTGCCTGCCACGCAAAGGTTCCGGGTTCAATTCCCGGTGGGATCACTCACAAAGTTGATATTTATCACTTTGTGAATTTGATCCCATTCTGGTTAGGACATTGCAGGCTGAACCACCTGATTGTCCGCAAGTAAGATGGTTCCGTGCTTCGGATGGGCACGTTAAGCCGTCGGTCCCGGTTGCTGTCTATGATGGCGGTCGTTACACAACCATGTCAGAGGCCTGCTTCTTGCAGTAGGCGGTTGAAAAACTCTGACACCAGGGTTCATCGGGTCGTTGAACGACTCGGTGTCCCACACGAAAAGAGAGAAACGGCATAATATGCTTGAATAAACACAGATCAAATAATTAACACATACATTTCCTTGCAGCTTACCGTATGTTCTACTTAGCGACTTCTTAGCCTAACTATGTGTAACATCTCAATATCCTTAAGTACGTAGTCTGTAGCTTATGGCCGTAAGTACATTCTATGTGTGTGGTATAAGTTGGAGGAAATGGCGTTGAATTCAGATGAAAAATACGAAATTGCAATGTCATGGATTGACCGGAGCTCAAACCCAGGCCGCATAGGTCAACGCCCCACCGCTCTGCCAATGAGCTATCGACGCACCGATCGATGCTTGCCAATTTATTATCTCTTCATGTTTGTCTTAAAGCAAAGATCTAGCAATCATTGTTAAATTTTCAAATTAATTATACCACTGCGACATTTTGATAGCTGTAATTTTGCCTTATTGACATTTTGCCCCCTTGACATTCTTTCATTCGGTTTTTCACCTTACAACAAATAATAGATAAGTCCTACTTAGCGACTGCTTACCCTAACTATGTGTAACATCTCAATATCCTTAAGTACGGAGTCTGTAGCTTATGGCCGTAAGTGCATTCTATGTGTGTGGTCTAAGTTAAGGGAAATCGCGTAGAAAATGTGAGGAAAAAAACGCGCTAAAATTTACATTTTACCACTTTTACATTTTGCCAGTTAGTCGCATTGCTAATCTGACATTATACCTGCATTTTGACATTTTTGACAAATAATATTTTCTGTCAATGTCTTGTCAATTTTCGTATTAGAATTTGGTGCATTTGGCCTATTTGACATTCCGTAATTGTAAAATGTTGTCACTTTGTCTTACTTTTTTCCTTGCAGCTTCCTATTATGTCCTACTTAACAGCTGCGTAGCTTAACTATGTGTAACATCTCAATATCCTTAAGTACGTAGTCTGTAGCTTATGGCCGTAAGTGCATTCTATGTGTATGGTCTAAGTTGAAGAAAGTGGCGTTGAATTCAAAAAAGAAAATAAGAAATTGAAAATTTTTCATGCATCGACCGGGGCTCAAACCCGAGCCGCATAGGTCAACGCCCCACCGCTCTGCCAATGAGCTATCGACGCACCGATCAATGCTAGCCAATTTTCAATCTCTTGATGTTCGTCTTTAAGCGACGATCTAGCAATCATTATTCAATTTTCAATTTATAAGACAAATTTTTTCACTGCGACATTTGATAGCTGTAATTTGGCCTCATTGACATATTGTCACCTTGACATTCTGCAACTTCGATTTTTCTCTTGCATCTATCCATGTGTTCTACTTAGCGACTGCTTAGCCTAACTATGTGTAACATCTCAATATCCTTAAGTACGGAGTCTGTAGCTTATGGCCGTAAGTGCATTCTATGTGTGTGGTCTAAGTTATAGTAAATACACGCACTAAAATTGACATTTTGCTAGTCAGTCGTTTTGCTACTCTAACCCTATGCCACAGTGATATTTTGCTAGTTTGTAATTTTGGTATCTTGAAATTCTGAAACATTTGCCATGACAGATTTTCACTGAATATCTATAGTGCGTTTCATCAAATAGTTCCTCTGGCGTCATGTTGGTAGCATTGTAAATGAGCGCCTTCTTAATTAGGACGTGTTATACGGCGACCATGTTGAGTGAGCCGCACGTAATATTATGGCCGCCTATATTCAGTCCAAATTACAAAGACGCCCATTTCCAATGCTACCAACATGATACCAGAGGAAAATATGATGAAACGCGCTTAATTATAGTAATTTTGTATTAAAATTTAGTACTTTTTCCTCCTTGACATTCTGTCAATATAACATCTTGTCCCTCTTTTTTATCTTGCATCTTACCGTATGTTCTACTTAGCAGCTGCTTAGTCTAACTATGTGTAACATTTCAATATCCTTAAGTACGTAGTCTGTAGCTTATGGCCGTAAGTGCATTCTATGTGTGCGGTCTAAGTTGAAGAAAATAGCGTAGAAATTGTGAGGAAAAAAACACGCGCTAAAATTTACATGTTATCACTTAGACATTTTGCCAGTTAGTCGCTTTGCTAATCTGCCATTATGCCTGCATTTTAACATTTTTGACAAATAATATTTTCTGTCAATGTCTAGTCAATTTTGTAGTAGTATTTTAGTACTTTTTCCTCCTTGACATTCTGTCAATATAACATCTTGTCCCTCTTTTTTATCTTGTGGTTCTCCATACGTCCTACTTAGCGACTGCTTAGCCTAACTATGTGTAACATCCCAATATCCTTAAGTACGTAGTCTGAAGCTTATGGCCGTAAGTGCATTCTATGTGTGTGGTCTAATTTGGAGAAAATGGCGTTGAATTCAAAAAAGAAAATAAGAAATTGAAAATAGGTCATGCATCGACCGGGGCTCAAACCTGGACCGCATAGGTCAATGCCCCACCGCTCTGTCACTAAACTATCGATACTACGATCGATGCTTGCTAATTTCGAATCCCTTGATGGTCGTCTTTAAGCGATCGATCGATGTCTTTTTTCTTCCGTTTATCTTTTTTAGCCGTCATATTTTTTGATTTATATAAAAGTATAATTATTCATTTTAGAGGTACGTACGAGGCGGTTTAAAGCTTTGACACCAAGGTTACAAGGTCATTCATCGACTCAGTATCCCACACCGCTACAGCTCCTCACTTAGACCAGCCGCAAAGTTTGTTCGAGACTGGCACTCAAGCCACAAGTCAAGTATTTGAACCAGGCTTAACTGGTACATAGAATACCTACTTAGAATAAGGAAATATTCTAGAAGGATCCCTAGACGCTATCATCTATACATATAATAAAACAGTAACAAGTAAAAAGTCTGTACATGAAATAAATCCAAAAAAGGATTTTTGTTTTGGATTATGTTGAAGATAGAGATCTCAAAACAATAGCTAAAAAAAATTTTGTCTGTTTGTCTGTCTGTCTGTCTGTCTGTCTGTCTGTCTGTCTGTCTGTTTGGTTGTTATTCTTTAACGCAAAAAGTACTGAACAGATTGTTACCAAATTTTGTACCGTGGTAGCTTATTACCCGGGTCAACATTTAGGATACATTTTACTTCAGGAAAATCTCTCATTCCCACGGGAAAACGCAGCAAAGCTTTTTACAGTCTATCTTATTGAGTGGGGTATCGTTGAATAGGTCTTTCAAAAATAAGTGCAGATTTCTCAGAGACAAAATTGATTAAATGTTTCTGTCTCGAGATATTTCTTTCTAATGATTAATTTGTAGTACATGTTTGCTTTGGGAAAATTAGTATGAAAACCATCGTGGATACGAATGCTTGGTAGATTAAAAAGTTAGGTGTAGTGTTTATGTGGGTATTGTTGATGGTTATGTTATGTTGCCGTGTGATGCCGGCTTAGAATGTCATCACCCCATATCTTTCCCGTGGGTGTCGTAAGAGGCGGATAAATTCATCCAGGGGTTCAATCCCTGGATAATTTTCGCAATAGCATTGCAACATCTTACATTGCGCTCACCAACCCGCCTGCCATGAGTGGTGAGTATGGCACATACCCTCTTACTAGAGGGAGGCCCATGTTCAATTAGTGGACTTTATTGTGGCTGTTATATTAATGTTATTGTAGTAACAAGAGAGTGAAAGATGAAAATAACAGCAAGAGCCACAGATGAGCCAGTGTTTTCGATACCAGAACAAATAGTTGCTGATGCCCAAAACGAGCATAACTAACTACATACAAAGTAGGTATGTATTTCATTTAATAATTACGTGTTGTCAATTACAAGAGAAATGTTGGTTTTAGCCTTTTTCGTACCGTGTTGTAGAGATATTGTTATTTGTTTAGGTAGTTCTAATATCTTAACTTTATATCGCAGCAAGTTTGTTTTAACCGCCGTACATTACGTCTAACTGTCTTCAAAAACAGCGGCTGTTTACATTGCAGCGGGTCATCGATAAGGCGATATAAACTGATAATGACATTTAAAGAAAAATAACCTTTTAGTGTGTATGTCTGCGTAGTCGTTTTTCTTCTTCTAATACTGAAAGTTAATTTGAAAGCAGCTTCTTCTTTCTTTTCGTGTGGGACACCGAGTAGTTTAACGACCCGATGAACCCTGGTGTCAGAGTTTTTCAACCGCCTACTGCAAGCAGCTGTTTTTAGGCCAATTTGGCTATAGATTTGGTGCAAACTGAAATATAACATCAATTTCAAAATTCAGATGTTCTGCTTATAATAACTAGAAAAACAAAAAAAAAAAACTATACACCCGCGTAATATGTCTGTTTCAGCCAGGGGTACCCTATTATATCTCAGCTTCTGGATCGAATGTTTAGATGTGGTATACGACTACGAAAGTGAAAGTGAAAGTGAAAGATGTTTATTCAAAATAGGACATTAAAATATCACTTATTGATAGTCATTACATTACGCAGAAATGGATTAGACATTGTAAAAAAGAGAAATTTGCAAAGCACAATTTTCTCTTTTTTATAACAATTTTAGTTTCCTACTATAAACGCGAACTATAAACGCGACTCCGGCTTCCCGAGCTTCGGTCTATGTTTAAGTACCTTCCAGTAGAATCTTACAGCTTACTACCTGTGTTCCTGTCCCAAACTCACCACATTCCTTTCCACTCCTGTTCCTACTTTCCCTTCTCTCCTAGATCCAACAAAAGCAGCTCGCTCCTGCAAAATCTGTTTCGGCGAAAAAGGTAACCCAATGCAGATAGTGCGAATGGGCTTGGTGGACTCGGCGACTCAGTCAGCAAGGCAAATTGGACAACCTAGCTAGGGCGAAGGTAGAGGGCGCTTGCAGTTACTGTCGGCCAGAAACTGGATCCGACCTCTTCGTCAGTAGCAGCGGTTCTCCGTTCCACTGAATCTAGGAGGGGACGACTAAGTCCCTGCACTTGCGTTTGCGCAAACGTCTGTGCACCTTATATAATCCCGTGCAACTGACCTAATGGACTACGATGTAGGATACAAAACCACCAACAGGCGAATCAGTGTCGACTTGATTAGTAGTAGAAGTGGTCGCCATGGCCAAAATCGGTCGGAGAGATAATCATTTGGGAACGTGTACCTAAGTGTCTGAAAGGTTGTCAGTCTACGATGCTAGGATTTCATAGAAATAATCGGTTACAAGTAAACCATTACAATAGCAAGCTTAATAAAATTTGCTACGGTGATGAGCTTAATTCCTTCCTTTGAGTGCTACAAGAAGCATGGATGTAAAACTTTCGAAAAATCAAGCTAAATTCCTGCCCTCTAACCCAAAACGCGATGTAAGTCCGGGCTAAAAGTCGCACAATCGCCACCCTGGTAAATATAAGTTAGCAAAGAACATGATCAACCAACAAGATTACCAGGTCATCGCAAGCGCCGCACTGAGTCTCGGGCTTCCAAGATTGTGTCTAAGATCTTTTAGTCCTGGGGATACTCATATTCATACTCATATGTACTCTACTTAATTATTTGCCTTCAAATGGTACAATAATATCCTAGATTAGGTGGTATATCGTTTCACATTTAATGCCATTTATAGGCACAGGAAATGCCAAGAGTGGAGCTGATTACCCGTCTGCGACGGTCCTGCCAAGCAGGGCAGGCATCCCAACCTAAGGAAGAAGAACAAGACCTATTCTTAGTTCGCGCACCCGACGAAATTTGACTCAGCCCTAGCCGCACATTCAACTTGTGGCTGATTTCAAAATCACTGATTAACAGTGTAAAAACATGTAGATATAATATAGCTAACACAAAGCCTCTAACACCTTGCGTACGAAGTCGCGGGCACCAGCTAGTTACAGAATAAGATGAGAGACGCGAGAGGTTAGATGACATTTCTGTCAATCAAGTGATCGTCAGCTGTCATCGATGCGGTGCGCGTCTCACGTGTGGAGACAACGTCTCTTCTGTTTTATACATTTTATATGGGAAGGGTTTCAAGCGCCGCGATGTCGTCACATCTCCGTCTCATGTCTTATCTCTCCATAGGCGAGACGCCTGTGGAGTAAGTGCCCTACAAATAACCCAAATTAAACCATTAAAAGAAAATCAAATTGCGACGATGAAGAACAATAACTTCATAGGAATTACATGTAAGATAGGAGGTTATCGTTCTTCATCGTCGATTGGTATCAGACTTGAAAATGTACGACTGCAGAAAACGCACCGGGATTTTTTTAAATACATAGGCTTCTTTTTTGACCAGTGCCGTTTGTAAAAAATTGTTTCCATGCCATGTCTGCTCACGATGAGTTTACTTATATAGCTTCACTCTTTGTCTTCGTAGAATCCCTCTAAAAGGTATTATTTAGCTCTGGGTTATGGGATACAGCACACATGCTGGATAAATTACAGATTCAAGCGATTCAAGATTCAAAACTTTTATTTCCAAGTAGATTCACAAAGAATACTTTTAGAATGTCAATATTAAACAAATCAAATATAATAAAAGTAGGTACATATAAAATTCAAATTATGATTAAGACGAAGTTACAATTGATTATGACAATTTTATACTCCTTGTAAGTCCTGATTTGGTATTCAAAACAAGTGCGTGTTTCTTGTGCTGCGCTGGAATTTCAGAAGTCCACGCATTTTTGTCATTAATATAATCATCTAACTTATAATAAGCTTTATAACATAAAGTTTTCTTAATAACAGACTTAAATTTACTTTCTGATAGACTTAATATATCTTCCGGTATTTTGTTATAGTATCGTATACTTAGACCTTGAAATGAAGTCCTAACTTTGGTTAGTCTAAGCTTAGGTTGATCTAATTCATTTCTACTCCTTGTATTGCGGTTATGCCTTTCATAATTTCTAGTGAAAGTATTTATATTCTTTCTGACGTACATGATATTTTCGTAAATATATTGGCATGGTACGGTCAAAATATTAATTTCTTTAAACAGTTCTCTAAGGAGTCACGACTGCAAAGTTTATAAATTGCTCTAATGGCCCTTTTTTGAAGTACAAAAATTGTTTCAATATCAGCGGCGCGACCCCACAACAAAATTCCATAGGACATAATGCTGTGAAAATAACTAAAGTAAACAAGTCGTGCAGTTGCAATATCCGTAACTTCTCTAATTTTACGTACCGCATAGGCAGCCGAACTTAATCTTCCCGATAAAGATGTAATATGTGGACCCCATTGTAGCTTTGAGTCAAGAGTAATCCCTAAGAAAACTGTGCTGGTAGTAAATTCTAATTTTTCATTATTAAGTTGTACATAATTACTCGATGAATGTACTACATTTGGCAAAGTAAATAATACACATTTTGTTTTCTTCGCATTTAGAACTAAATTATTTGCAGTAAACCAACTATGAATTTGTCCAAGAGTGTGATTTACCTCGTCATAATTCTGTGCATGTCTATCAACCTTAAATATAAGGGATGTATCATCAGCAAATAATACAATCTTGGACAAGTTCTGTACCATGTAAG